AGACTTATGTATAAGACGTCTTGCTATGCACAAATGAATTTATCAGCAGAACACCAGACACCAGATGAGCCCTGTCGCACTGCGGCACTTGTTGTTTTTATCTCTAGTTTTCAATTTGTCTCTTTTAATTACTCTTTTTAAAATGGCATCTTTGACTTGTTTTTTCCAGGCTCTTTTTGGTTTTATTCCTATGGCTGTAAATGACATTTCCAGTTCGTACTCCTCTAGGATTACTAAAATTTCATTTTCCCAATTTCTTCCATCCCCTTTGATTTGCTGTATAAATACTCTCTTCATTAATCTATTGTTATCTAGCTTAACTATGTATTGTAGTAGCATGAGTTTTTTTTATCCTATTTTATCAGCTATTGGTAAAATTCCTAACTCTATCCTTAGTGCTTCCAGTGGTGTTTTACTATGAGCTTTTATTATTTTGCGCAGACACTCATTTTGGAAATCCTCTAACATTTTTAATTCTTCATTAGTTAAGTTTGTCCATGTTTCACTATTGTTTAGTAAGGAAGGTAAGACTGTGCATTCATATAGTTTCACTCTTGCTTCTATAGTATGCTTACCATAATTTTGTGTCTCTGTAAACTCTTCTGTCCCTGATACTATTTCCCTCATCATGAACCTACATTTTTTAGTTCGGACTTCGGACTCTTATCATGTCCTTATACGCTCCTTTATCATTAATTAAATCCCCTAGATATGAATAGATTTTGTTAGAATTTTTTTTGTTCTGCTAATCTGTGGCATGACTGAGCGATTTTTGTAACTGTTTCATGATCTCCAATTCCTAAGATATCGTCCATATATAATAAGAGTCCGATTTCGATGCTGTTTCTATACAGGTATCTAGCTTTGTTGAGGTCATTACCCTGGTACCGTACCTCGCCTAATCCACTAACGAGGCTAGGGAGTCGCCTACGCCTACTCCATAACCCTATAACCCTAACCCTAACTCAAACCCTAACCTAGCCCAACCCAACCAGGCTGTGTGACTCCCGTAATTATAGCACTATATAATATATAAGTGTAAGTGTGCACAGTGCAGCCGCGTGAGGAATGGCAGCCGCAAGCGTATGTTGCAAATAGGATTTGGACGGAATTAACAGGAAACTGTCAGCAATAATTACAGCAGGTGTTACGGTGAGAGCTGCGGCAACTGTACGCGGGCTATAGTACTTGAGCTAGGTCAGACAGTACTTACGTGAGTCTCAGGGTTGAAAAGCTGCAATCCGATATGGATAAATATAACTAGCTCGATCAGGCTACAAGATTTATGCTAATAATAAATATTCGTTCAATACATGACCGTTTCCTAGGGTGATTCCCTACAATGGAGTGTTCCCAACTTTAATATATATATATGGTCATATATTAGTTTGTGGTTTAATGTCATTTAGGTTAGGGTTAGGGTTAGGATTATCAATCATTAATCATTAATGATATCAAAGTTGGGAACACTCCTAATGGAGCGTTAGCCTTCCTAGGCTATGGCCATAAAATACCCTGTCATGCTGGAATAAATCACTTGGATTTTGTACATTGCGCCTGTGTAAGTGTAAGTTAGTTAGTTGTCATTGGAGGCAGACGTTAGATAGATAGAAGTTGTGTCTCAGACTTATTTTATTCCCGTTATACTTTTATCACTACTAGTATTACTATCAAATAACATAGTTTTGTTGTATGTTTCCTGAAATCAAGGATCAGGAAGCTAGAATACTGTAGTAGAACAATGTCACGTGTGTGAAGTGCGAGTGTACACCCATACCAACAACAACAACAACAACAACAACAATAACAACAACAATAGCGACTACAATGACAACACCACCACCACCAACAGCAACAACACCACCACTAACAGCAACAACAATAGCATCAACAACAACACCACCACTAACAGCAACAACAACAGCAAAAACAAGAACAACTGCGACAACAACGACAAGTCGTCTATAAGAATATGCCATCTTAAGTCGATCTCTCCAAGAGAAAAATTGTAATTTCTTGCTTGAGGCATTAATTAGTTGAATATATTCAATATTTAATTAAATATTGAATATAAAATAATTAACATTGAATATTATTTCTCGCCGTAACAGGTAACCACCCCCCAACAACCGTCGACCATGGACGAGAACTTCATGAACTACAGCGTGATCTTCGACATCGAGCGCGGATTCGACTTCGCCGAGGCGAAGGACTGGACGCGCGAGCGCCTCCCGCTCACCGTCTACTCTTCCCTCGTCTACGTCGTCGCCATCTTTGCCATCCAGTCGTACATGAAGTCTCGGCCGCCGTTCGAGCTCCGCGCTCCGCTTGCCACCTGGAACTTCCTCCTCGCAGCGTTCAGCCTCTGTGGGGTCCTGAGAACTGTTCCCGAACTCGTGCACGCGTTCTCGACGTACGGCTACGCGTACACGGTGTGCAACAACGCCATCGGGCACGGCATCACTGGCTTCTGGACGTTCCTGTTCGTCGTATCAAAGCTGGTGGAGCTCGGCGACACGCTCTTCATCGTGCTGCGCCGCGGGCGCCTCATCTTCCTGCACTGGTACCACCACATCACCGTTCTGATGTACGCGTTCTACTGCTACGCGGACGGCACCGCCGCCGCGCGCTGGTTCGTCTGCTGCAACTACTCGGTGCATACGATCATGTACACGTACTACGGCCTCGTCGCGATTCGCATACGACCGCCGAGGTAAGTGTGCGAGCGCGTCGCGGCGTCGCCAGGATGCACGCGAGAGGGGTGTCTATGCGGGGGATCTCCTAGGGAAATCGAGACGGCGTGTGGTTTACGCACCGCCGAGGTAAGGCAGAGCTACTGCTGCCATTCACCATCTTTGCATAATGCGATAAATGAATAACGGTGGCGATTTCACTACACTAAGTGGCGAATTTCAATACACTAAGTGGCGAATACAAATGACGAATGGTTTAAGTGCTCACAAAATTACGTTTGAATAATGAAATTGTTAAATCGCAGTGTCGTGTCGTAAATTGTTTTCGTACACCTATTCTCCCATACCCATCACCTGTTTATGCCTTGCTTATTACATACGCTAAAGTGAACAGTTGCTATAGTTTTTCATTTGTGGCTAAAAAATTACTTTGCTGGCTCAAGTCTTGGCTCAAACTTTAAAACATCCAGAGGGAGTCCTAGTAAGGTGCAAACTCCACGACAGATGGCGCTCTCGCTCTGGCTCAATTCTACCACTGCCACAAGCTGATTTCCGTAAGAATTTCTTACGCTTTTTTACTATAAGTTTTACAGCGACCCCGTTACTCCTGTCCTATGTGATACAGTGTGTACTTATAAAAGCTGCAAAGATAATAAAAGTCGGACCATTATTTCATGAGCAATTTGATAAAATAGTGATACGAAACAGTGCGCCCATTTACTACTTTCAAATCATTACGCTGTTTACTAAACTAAGTTCACGTATTTATCATGAATTTTTGGGATGCTTGCCAATATACCTAATTCTCGAACATTGTCTTTGATACATTTTTGCGTATTCAGCTTAAAACATCTAAATTTGTCCACCAACAAACATGCAAATCATAGAAATTTCTAATGTTTTGTTCAGCGGCCGACCTTCGCGCGTTCTGGCCCTTTGACCCATTTGCTGGATTTCCCGGAGACTCCGCCACTGTTAAAAAATAGTGCTCAGCATTGTGCAGTGGATATACTCCTGTAGTGTGGAAGGGGGCGCTGCATTGCGTTTGAAGTAAGTGTCTGCGCGTTTCGCCGGGACGTGGTGTCCGAGCGGATGCGGCAGCCGCCGCTCGGGGGGTGTGTGTTGAGCAGGACCATGTGATATTGTCGGCTGAGGTGCAGTGAAAAATATTTTGTGGAGTGCAATTTTGTTTTACGCAGAACAATGTACACGCGCTTTTAGAGTCAAGGTATTGGTAGTCTGAGTGCTACACACTTGGCGTTGTGGGCGCGCGTGCAGTTTCAAGAGGAAGGGGGGCTGACCGTGCAAAGTCAGCGGGGTGCACGGCTCGCTGGCTGATACGTTGCGCGAGGGGTGTCCATACGGAGGTTATCCTCGGGAATTCGATAAGGCGTGTGGTTTACGGACGGATAGATAAGATGAGGGCCCAGGGAGGTGTTTGAACCGATTGCAGTTGATTACGCGTGTCGTGAGCGGCCTTTATACGCAGGTAAACTGAATCGGTTCAGGGACGTATACGCCGAGCTTTGTAAATGCAGCATGACTGTTGGGATTGTCGAAAGTAAATTAACACGGCTGGAAATTAATGCATGTCGATTAGGCAATTAACTAAGGTATGTAGGAAATTTTGTGGGGTTGTCGCGAATTAGCTTCAGCTTAGAAGGCATGTCAGACCTGGCATCCATTCGAGGCCTGGAGAGAACCGTGGCGTACATGTGCCAGGTGTGGGTACATAGTATCAGTTACAATCCTCTATCTCCCCTCAAGTCTTTGGCGCGAATAGAGAAAATGTCAATAATGTGACAAAGACTGAACAATCCGAAATAGTGCAGGGAACAACAAACAACTGGCATGAACGACGAATCTTGTGAACAAAACTATGGAAAATCCATGTATCAAAAGTCAAACATCCGTAGGAACATAAACACAGGAACGCGAAAAACATTGTCAGTTTGAATGCTGAGATCACATGGAATAGTCAGAATGCCAAGCAGGCTGCTTCGTGCGACGGGTAGAGCTTCTCGGTGCTGTAGCAGGAGGGCCAGCCGGGGGGCACTGACCGGTGCAGGATCCGGAATCCGGCAAGAGATTGCCGGGGGTGCCATGTCGGTTGATGTCGTTGCTGGAGAGTCATGCACAGTAGAGGGGACAACTGCAGGGAGAGGCTTTTTTTTCTTTCTTTTTTAATTTGAACAAGAAAACTTGGAAAAGTGATGAGAATCAGAGATATCATCGCTACTATACAAGTTATCCTTTATTAACATACATGTATTATACACACAGTAGCAAACAGTGCAAAACAAACAGTAAACAGGGCTAAACAAGCACATACATGCACACACGTACATGCACACACGTATACATGCACACGACGTTACGCACACGCAGACATTCAACACCCCGAGTAACCGATTGTAACTGATGATCGGTTACTTGGGTCCAACTGATGATCGATTACGAAATTACAACCGATTGACAACACTACATGTTATACGAACGAGTTCTAGAGCCACTTGCACCGATTGCCTGAGTGCCTCTCCCTCCATTCATGTCCGTTAATCCTACGTTTACCCTTACCCCGTGCATATTCACCAGTCGGCACTCATATCTCTGTGATTTGTTTACTTATCAGTTAAGGCCACCATTTTTTATTTTGTTGTTTTACAGAATTTTTGTTGTTGTTGTTGTTGACTCAGTAAAGTAATAAAAAAAAAATTGTTGTTTTGTCAGATCAAACAAGTCAAAATACAGTGATACTGTTATACATGATATTAAAGTATTTTAAGAAAACTAAATGAAAACAAAATTGTAATTATTTTTACTTTTATTATAAACTGTTTGTTTATGAAATTTTTTTGTTTTTTACATTTAATTTTTTTTTATTCATATTTCTTAGAGAAAAGGTCAGCAGGAATAAAAAAATACAGATTTTCAATTTTTATTTTTTTTCCTTTTTCTTGAAAATTCGGCTCGGTAATCCAATATATCTGTAAACCAACAAAATAAAAAATTCTCGCCTAAATGCAGTTGTACTGCCCTGGCACTGTAATTGTATTGACTTATCATCATATCACTTGTTTGATGCATAACCGACATTATATAGTTATATAAATTTTAACACAGAGTTCCGTTCGCAGGTGGGTGAGCATGGCGATCACGGCGATGCAGCTGTCGCAGATGTTCGTCTGTTTCGGCGCGTCCCTATATCAGTACCACCTCATCACCAACAAGGGCGTCCCGTGCGACGGCACGCACAAGAGTCTCTACGCGGGGTTCGCAATGTTCGGCACTTACATCGCCATCTTTGGAAACTTCTTCTACGAACGCTACTTCCGGGAGCCGTCGCTCAAGGCCAGGAAGCTGCAGTAACCCTGGCAACGGGATGATTCGGAAGCGCGGCGTCAGAGAAAGGTCGTCGCCGGCGGAGGGAAAGGTCGTCGCCGACGGAGGGAAAGGTCGTCGCCGACGGAGGGAAAGGTCGTCGCCGGTGGAGGGAAAGGTCGTCGCAGGTGGAGGGAAAGGACATTTGGGCATGACCTTTCCTTTAATTATTTCAGGACATTTCCTTTAAAGGGACAGTAGCCTCTAGGATTTTACTGCATACAACTGTACTTACTGTATAACAAATCGTCTATACCCACACGTATTTGTTACCAGATACCTAATTTACCTTGTTATACCT